GTAAATAACAAAAGAATATTTTAACTATAATTTTACTTTGCATCTGGTACCGGATTAGTTATGATAAACTAAATGTTTATGTTATAAAGTAAATTCATTATTTAATTACTGATTAAAAATATATTGTTTATATTTGAAATTCATACATAACGCATGAATATTTTTGTTATTAAATTAATTACTTTTAATTATACTAATATGTTTATTTATTTTATTTTATGTTGTATTTTAATTCATCATTTAATTTAAATGCTATTTAATGATTCAATTAATTGGTTGTGGTTTGTTGTGAATGGCCTGGTAGCTAATTAAACAACTGGAGTTATAGGATTAGGATATTTAAAATCTAAATGAATGTAAATTAAACACATGTTTGATTGTGTTGAATCTACAGGTATACCAGGGCATGTTTATATTGGATTCAGGAAATATTATCAGTGTAATTTATTTTGATGTAAAACTTACACACAAATTACACGTTACGGTATATTGTACTTGTGTGTACTTTATGCACACAAAACTGTTAGAATTAATTATCTTGTTTATAAAACATAGTTTAGGACGATTCAGTGAATGTGAACAAGTACACCTAATTTTTCATTAAGTGATTAGAAAAATTGCATGTGCAAGTTAAAGAGTATCTATTAGTTATCAATATAATTGGATTATGCACCTGCTATAAATATTGTTAAAAAAATAGTAAACAACTATTATCTACTGATAATATTGATAACCATTGAATAAAGTGTTTAATTACTCCTTAAGTGAATTCAATGCCAAATACTTTCCCAAAAATATATAAAGGAAAGTTTATATCACATAATTGGTTCTAGCTCACTTTATCATTACGGTCCTTACCAGAATATAAGTCATAATGAAATACTTTTTATTTATTTTGTTCAGTATTATATTTATTGGTTTAACATTAGGTTTGAAAGAAATGTTAACATTACAAATCATTAATATTAATAAGCAAATTATCTTATAGTGGAAAGCCGGCGCGAGTGCATAGCCAGTAAAGGGCACGACAGTCCGTACTGTGTCTGTAATACCACTTATTGCGATGATTTGGATCCCATTGTGAAACAACCGAAGGGAACGGTACTTGTGTTTGAGACCAACAAAAAGGGCGATCGACACAAACGAACAGAATTGAAAGTCTCGACACAATATACAGAGACAGCCGACGAGAGTATTGTTTTGACAATCGATAAGAACACTAAATACCAGAAAATCATTGGCTTTGGCGGAGCTTTCACTGACGCGAGTGGTCTTAATCTGAAGAGTTTGCCACAAGAATTGGCCACAAATGTGATCAAAGACTATTTCTCTGCCAACGGTATTGAGTATAGTATGGGTCGGGTGCCAATAGCCGGGTGCGACTTCTCTCCGCGCGCCTATACATACAACGACCAAAAGGATGACTTTCTCGAGTTCTGTAAGCGGGAGGTCTTCCTCCTGCTTCTGATGTTTCATGAACGTGTGTTGATAAAGAAAATAAAAGATAATAAAAACGTTATAAAATTCATATGTTAGTAATATAAGTCTAGGGTATCATAAAAATGGCCCGAAATATGAGTTCCCATGCGTTAACTCTGTTTGCGAGTCCCTGGGCTTCGCCGGCGTGGATGAAGACTAACGGACATCTAAATGAAGGCGGATTACTGATCGGTAATCCGGGTACAAAATATTACAAAACATGGGCTAACTATTTTGTCAAGTAATGACATTTGGAATTTGATTATAAATTATATAAATATAGAAATATATGTAACAAATAAATGAATGCATTGTATCTGAACGACAGATTCCTGGACGCCTATAAAGCCAATGGCATTGAGTTTTGGGGACTGACTGTAGAGAACGAACCGGGAGCTGGATATCAGGCCACCTATGGATTCAATTGTTTGGGTTTTAACGAAACGCTTGAACGGGATTTCGTGAAAATGGATTTGGGGCCGGCGCTCAAAAAAGGTTTGATAACCTATACTATAGGTCCCATAGATACACTTTAACTTGAACATGCAATTTTTCTAATTACTTTGAATGGAAAAGCTGGTTATGGTCAGGACAAACTCAATCTTATGGTATATGACGACTATGGGGACAAAATAGTCAATTGGGCCGACGTTTGCTTTAACGACAAGGAAACGGCTCAATATATCAATGGTTTGACCATGCGTATTCAATTTAATTAGATTTATATAATTTTTATTTAATTAATTTAAAGGAATTGCTTATCACTGCTACGGGAATGGAGCAAATTGGGGCGATGTATTGGAAAAAGTTCATCAGCGACACCCTGATCAGTTTGTCATATCGAGTGAATGTTGCCAAGAATTTAAAATCCTAAAAGCGGGAACTCCCGTGAGATTAGGAGTTTGGGATAACTCAGAGTCCTATACCAGAGATATTATGATTGTTAGTACAGTATTTTCTTAGAGTAACAAATAGTGTAAAAATTGTGAAAGATGAGAATATAGTCTTAAATCTCGTGACCTGCTCCCCAACCCACCTCACCTTAAACCACGAGCTATACATGCCTGTCGGATTAACCCGAGTTTTCTCATCGGAGGCACCCATTCTGGTGAACTCAACCGGCAAAGAATACTATAAAGACCCGAAATTCTATATTTTGGGCCATTTCTCCAAATTCTTAGCACCAGATTCCGTGAGAGTGTCCGTAAAACCCGACAAAACAGTGAATGGCTTTGATTCGGTTGCGTTCGTCAGACCCGATAACGCGACGGTTGTTATCGTATATAATCAGAGAGATATTCCCACGGATTTGATAATTAAAGACCAAACTGTTGGACAAATTAAAACCAAAATAGAGTCCCGTTCTCTACAGACTTATATTTATTGGAATTAAATGCAATTAAATATAATTTTAATTATCAAAATCAGATGATGTTATCTCGGATAATGGATGAATGAATAATTTAATCAGTTATGTATAATACATTTTATAAAAATAAACATAAATAATTATAAGTTGTAAAGACAACAAGACAAGTTTTGAAAGTTATTTTGAGTCACAACTTATTAAAACATTAGAATTGCTGATTTGCAAATTAATTGCTGATTTAAAACAGAAATGTGAAATTTTTATAATCGATAATAATATTATTTAGTTGAAATAGCTTACAACATATGAGCCTTAAAGAACCAGATAGGCGCTAGCTATTTTTTATATATAAATAATTAGTAATATTTTACTTGTACTCTGATAAGTTATAGNTTTATATATAAATAATTAGTAATATTTTACTTGTACTCTGATAAGTTATAGTTACTATCTTACCGTAAACCTATGAATATTTTATGAATAATTGGATTCTGAGTCAAATTATTAATTAAATAAAAATAGCTAGCGCCTCTCTGGTTCTTTAAGGCTCATATAATCTCAACTGAGATTTTTATGTAGAAAATAGGGAATCGATAAATCCAATATTTTTTGACAATATTGCAGCAATATAGGAAATTCCACGGAAAGTTAAAATATGATAAAATTCGTAAATATAAAAGAATTTTCTGATCTGTTAGCATTACCCAAGACACACCACGTGGAGGTCGACCAGAACGTGTCTCACCCTTTTTTGTTATGGAGGTTGTTCTTTCAGTCATTCCTCCAGTTCACTTATAAATCAATACATTAATGGCTTTTATTATATCGGCGTTTTGTCATTATTTGTTCAATATTTGGTTTGATGTCTTTAGCGCTGAATATTCGAAGTCTCGCTTCTAGTAATTTATCTGATATTCTATTCGTTTGTTTGGTCTTAATTAAGTTCATAATAGAAAAAAGTTGTTCACAATCATATGTGGTTGAGAAAAGAGTTATGATTTTGAAACCATTTTGTTTAAGCCAAATAAACTCTTGGGGTAATTGACTATAGAAATCATTAATATTTGTTATTGATATATTTGTAATTTATCACCAAATAGAACTCGTGTAAAAATTTTCATGTTTTCTAAACCTGGTCTATTAAATCAAATAATCAACATTATACTGTTGTTTGTGCTTCACAATCAGGTAGTACAGTATATTATTACTTAGTACTTAGTATAATATAATTATGATATAATAATTTATAATGTTATACAGAGAGTCCCTACTATGTAATTTTTATTTATTATATTAAAATATTTATAAAACTATGGACCATGAACAGTGGGAAATTATTAACATTTCTGTATTGGACCCATGTATTGGTTTATTAATGCGTAATAGTTAAACACCAAGAAATGTTAATTCAATTTAAAATTAAATTTAATCTTTTTCTCAGACATCTGACTCACCTAATCTTCACACTTCCTTTTGTTCCCATTCTCCAACTTTTCCCTTCTCCTTTTGATTATTTCAAACCAATGTTGTCTATCAGTATATAGTTTATATAATTATTGGGTTTAATATAAATTTAATTAAAATTTTGAAATATTTAGAAATTTCAATCAATTGTTGTATATAATTTTATTGTTTCTATAAAGATTAGTTACAATCTAACTTTAGCAAGTTTTTTGAAAATATTTGAAAATTTGAAACCATTGTTGTCTATATCTGGTGCATTAAAAGTACCATAGTATTTACCATATAATTAATATGGGATATTGGGCACATTGAAGGCAAAATTTTATACAATTTCCCCATAAGATTAACATTGGATTTTGGGCATATTTAGAGCAAATGTCCAATAGACTTAACATCAGTTATTAGATACAATTTAAACATTTTCCCCATAAGTTTAGCATGGGATATTAGACACAACGTAAGCAATTGTCCAAGGACTTAACATTGGATTTTGGACACATTATAGGTAAATTGCTAATAGGCTTATAATGGGATATTGGACATATTTAAGCAATTGCCCCATAGGCTTAACATGGGATATTGGGTACATTATGGGCAAATTCCTCATAGACTTAACATGGAATAGTATGTACATTGTAGACAATTTTCCCATAGACTTAACATGGGATATTGGGCACACTCTACGAAACTTCCCCATAGGATTAACATGGGGAGTTTGTTCACTTTGGTCGTACTTTTTCGACAACATGTCCCTCAATATCCACTTTTAAGCGTAACGCTATGGGATTTTATGGTTCCGCAACCGACATTTTTTGACACACCCGTCATGCACGATCATTATACACCATTTTCCCATAGGTTTAACATGGGCCTGCAAACACAACGTCATTACGTCATCGGAAACACATTTGCCCACTTTTGCTGGGATTTTTGGTAGGAAAGACAAAGTCGCTAAAGGCTAAACTGTCAACAAACCCCATGTTAAGTCTATGGTAAATGCAATTTGACCGTCATCAGCGTCATTAATGACGAGGTGAGGGGGGGGGCACAAAGTGATTCTAGTATACGATTTCCCTTACGGAAAAGTGTATAAAAAATATTTACTTTAGATAATTGCCTGTTTTTATTAATAGCACACTTGACAATAAACCAAATGATAACTCCACAACTCATACATTATTTAAATAAACAAGCGTAAATAAACTAATATTAAATTTTCATAAAACAATTCATCTAAATAGACTTTAATCACATAACATTTATATTAATATCTATTTTATTTATTAAGTATGCTATATTATATAGCGAATGATATTATATTAATTATAAAATATAACCGGTATTTTAGAGGAACTTGTTTTGCAATAATTCAAGTTAAAAATGTATACATTAATATTATACATGGTTTGATTAGTAATTACTGTACTGTACATTTGTGTATCCACTGAAAATTAAGTTATTATCTCATAGAAATCGTTTAATATATAAATTATTTAATATAACAAAGAATTATATTAACAAATGCACTATATTAATACAATAGTAAATTTACGAATAATTAAAATATATACTGTATTAATATAGATTTGTATTTAGAGAAATATAAAATGTTTTATGAATTGTGTCGACATATAAGTTAACTAATTTTATAATTAGTTAGATTCTTATATTTAATATTTATTAACTAAACTAAAAATTTGATTTACCAATAGTTTTAATATACAGCGTACTTGTTAATATTTCACGTATTTTAAATTTTAAAGAAAATATAAATCTGTGTGTTTTTAATGCTTATTCGTAATATTATATTTATTAGTGATTATGTCTTTGTTAACAATATTTACTGTATATTAATTTAACTTAAATATAATAAATTAATTAAATAACTAACTAATTATATAAAATTTATTTTTATAATATTAAATGTTATAAAATATTAATACCATACAAAAGTATTATAATATAATTAAAGTGAATTTCCAATGAATTATATTAATGATTTTAAAATTCTTTGTACAAAAAGGAGTCATTAGTCTGTACTTAAAAGGTATTGTAAAAATGCTTATATCATATAATAAGTTCAAGGATACCAATAAAGGTTTATTAAACTTCCATAATTACAGTACCACCCAGGATATATTAAATCAAGTCAAACCAAACTTTATTTGAAATCGTTTTAAACAAAAGTTGCTTTTCAAAGAAATCCGTTTGTACTGTATTATTTGATTTTAAAAAATCCCGGTGAAATTGTATGTTATATAAACTTAAATTGGGATAATTTTTAAATATAAAACTAGTTTACGTTGATATATTGATGTATGAATATATAGTATTTTATAGGTATTTACTACTACATTTTTACTTTTAGAAATATTATTAAAATTTTAAAGTTTTATAAATTGACTCGATAAAGTTTGTAATAATATTGAAATAAGTTTGTATATTTTATCATTGGTTATTTTAACTATTATACTTAATATTTATAAATAAAACTAAAAATATTTTATTTTTTAAAATTTATAGTTTTAAAATTCAGTAAATATATGATTATATTCCTTATTTGATAATTACAAAATAGTAGAAAACTATTATTGATTTTAACGTTGATTTATTTATGATTATATGTATATTTATATGGATCTAGTATTTAGTATTTATTGGATGATGTCAAACAACTCCGGGAAAAATGATTTAATTATTCTGGATGAGGAAGCTATTAAATATGAAATCCGAAATCTTACTGTTGAAAAGACCGAGCCTAATCCGTACATACCGAATGCAACCAAAATGATCGAGGATATTATAACGAATACAACAGGAAAGCCCTTCAAAGACCATAATGAAATTTGCTTAGCTGTGGGTTTTTGCTTTCCCACGATTAACAATCCTGGTCTATTTTTAGCATTTGTATTGTTCTGCTATTTTTTCTCAATGGTTGACGATTCGCTTGATGTACTAACTGAACCTGAAACCCAAATAAAGTGAGTAATATAAATTATATAATATATATTTTTCCATGAATAATTATGTTTTGTAGTGAATGGAGAAATATCGCGGTTAATGGATTTTCCCATGGTGAGACATTTCTGTCGAAAATGTTTAATAAAGCCATGGAATTACTTGACAATGCAATGACTATCAAGCAAGCAACACGTATTAAAAAAGGATTTTATATATATTTGAATAATTTTAAAAAACTTCCCAAGAACGATGGAAATTCAAAATGGCCCACATTTGATGAATACGAGACTTTCAGGTATAAAATATTATAATTACAATATTAACGGGTGACCCAATATATTAACACTATTTGGGACCTTAATTGACAGTATTATTCGGCCTTTTATATTTTATTGTTATAATTATTATTCAAATACCATTTTTAAAATATTTATTAAGGTTCATTGATTTTGCATTTGATACCGGGATTTATTTCAATTGCATTGTGGTGAATTTCGATCTTGATGCTAATCCGGTTATCAGTAATGGAACTAGCTGGAAACAATTTAACCTCCAATGCTGTCGACACATTTGCATGGTAAATGATCTGTATTCATTTAAGAAGGAAGTACTAAATGGTGAAAATAAGTATTCCTACATTAATGTGTTAATGTACAATGGTCAATGTAACGCACAAGCTGCTGCCGATAAGCTTGTTCAATTAATTACCGAAACATGGACCTTAGCGGAATATTACGGACGCCAATTAAATGAGTTTGGTATAGAAGGGCTTGATGCATATGTCGATTCATTCAAAATGAATATGAAAGGCCATTTATATTGGACAAGTTTTACAAAAAAATACAAAGTTTAAATTATTATGAATTCTTAAACATCTTCCAAAACATATCCATTAAGTTTACACTAATTAAATTATAAATATTTTGAAATGAAAGATTATTATTAAATTAAATTTTAAGAATTAATTACAAAACTTATAAAACCATAAATATATCGTATATATATTTTAATGTCAAAATTTCCCGATAATTTGTGTGATCTTATTTAAGACGTGAAATTCGAATAAGTAATTATTTTTATTTTTAATGCACATAATTAAAAATAATTTTAATTTAATTTAAACTATAATAACTAAAATTAGGCTTTTATTTAATTTTATTATAAATTATAATTTTGGAGCAAAGCCTTAATGTTACCCTGAACATTAATTAATTATTTAGAGTCAACTTGAAAAGTATTGACAATACTAATTACAATATATAATAATATAATGAAAGTGTATTTCTAATGAATCCTTTGAATAATTTAATTTTTTTGTACGAAAGGAGTAATTAATCTGCAATTAAAGGAAACTTATTTAAATATGTGATTGAATGTAATTCTGATTCAATAATATTTTATTCATAATGGTTATGCTTTTTGTTATAATTTTTACAATATACCAATTTAACGAAAAAATTTCTACACTATATTCAATACAATATTAAATCATTTACAAATTATATATAAATATCTTAGTAAATGTTATAAAATATGTATACTATACAAAAGTAGTATAATATAATGAAAGTGTATTTCCAATGAATCCTTTTAATAATTTAATAATTTTTTGTAGGAAAGGGGTCATTAGTCTGCAATTAAATGAAACTTATTTAAAAATGCTTATAAATTTTATAATAAGTTTAATTATGCGAATAAAGGTTTATTAAACTTACTTAATTACCGTACCACCCAGGATATATTAAATCAAGTCAAACCAAACTTTATTTGGAATCGTTTTAAACAAAAGTTGCTTTTCTAAAAATCCGTTTGTATTGTATTATTGGATTTTAAAATATCCCGGTGAATTTGTATGTTATATAAACTTGAATTGAGATAATTCTAAAATATTAAACGAGTTTACATTGATATATTGATGTATGATTATATATGTATTTAATCATTGTAAGTTACTAGCATACCGAAATTATATTATTATTATTAGATATTTCTATCCACTAATTAAAATCTATTTTTCACATTTTCTTATCAGGTCTTATCAAATGAATTAAATAGCATTTTATGATTGCATTTAATAATTGAAATTTTAACGTCAATTCATTATATTATTTATATATAGCTTTGCAAATATTAAATTCAATATTAATTGAATTCTGAATTTTAATTGAATAATATTCAAGCCACATAATATATAAGCTACATTTGTTAAATTAATTCATAATTACTACTAAAAATTTCTAATATTAATATATAGTTTAAATGGAAAACAAAGTGTTGGAGTCATTGGAGTCAACATTCGTTATAATTCTCGACAAAATCTCAATCGACACGTCAAACAAGGGTTTACTGGACGTGAGGGACAGACTCAAGAAGATCTTCAGTTATAATGTCGGACACGGGAAGGGTATCCGAGCCCTGTTTGTGGTGAAGACATTCATACTATTAGCCAAACACAATGGCATTGAGACCACCAAAGAGGACATAGAATTGGCACAAATTCTTGGGGCAAGCGTTGAGATAATGCATGCGTTTGCACTCATTTGTGATGACATCATGGATGAGTCCAGCACCAGACGGGGTCGACCATGCTGGTATAAGCAGGTACAGTTATATTATAAAGTTATCTCTAGTTATAGACTATAACTTATAGTAGTAAATTTGCACGGACATCCCTGTGCGGTACTAACTTGTTGGCACACTGGGCACACTGAAAGTGACAGTTCATAATGCATATAATTATTATATAAAAGTATTATTATAAAAATTATTATATGTATTTATTTTACACCTGTTTTATTGTTTTACACGTTTACCTGTAATTTCACAATACATAGAAAAAATGTATTTCTAGGATAGAATATTCTGTGTATTAAATACAGAGTCGGTACCAGCAAATATTATTTAGTATTTTGAAAGACAATTCGAACACAGTTTAGATCACCCAGATCCATTGAGTAGTTGCTGAGATTAATGAATTTCAAATTATCAAATTCTCACAAATAAACAATTTTTAAAAATCATTAGGGAAAAATTTCAAGAAATCCAGAAATATGTTTTTTCATTTTGACCTTGCGCATAATTTCCCAAAATCAGAACTTTGATACCTCTTATAGTTTTTGAGCGAATCCATAATTTCCAAAATTCTCATTTATTAATATTCCCTTTTGATCAGGGTAAAATGGTGCATATGAACATATTGATAGGGAAAAACCATGTTTCTAAAATTTTTTTAATTGATCTAGCTCAACTTTAACTAGGCTATATTTTAAGGCATCGAGTGTAAAGCATTTTGGCGAAACTTTTATATTTTGCATAATGTTAATTATATTTAAATAGCTCAACATTTAAATACTTTCAGTGTGTATTGTATGCCAAAAAGTCAGTGACATCCCTGTGCTCATTAGGATGATGTTGGCCTTCAAGCCCTAAACGATGGCATAATTCTGATGAATGAGTCCTTCCATACATTAAAGCTGTTCCTCGGACACAAGAAGTCGTATCCGATTATTATGGAGACAGTCCACGAGATGATGAGGTATACCACATATGGACAGCACATGGATATGGCCTCCAATTCCAACAACACTGGCCCACGATTTGACTTATTCACGAAAAGCCGATACGAGACAATCGTTAAGTATAAGACCTCTTACTATACGTTTGTACTGCCCGTCCGATTAGGTATAAAACATGGCACACATCTACCACTAACTATAATCCATTTCCCTTTTACATAAAGCCATGTATTTGTTTGGAATGAAGTCCAAGTCGGCGCACCGGCAGGCAGAGGAACTCCTACTAAAAATCGGATACTTGTTTCAAATGCAGGACGACTTTATCGACTGTTTCGGTGACCCCATAGTGACCGGCAAACAGGGCTCAGACATCGCGGACGGCAAGTGCTGTTGGCCTGTCGTACGGGCACTGGAACTGTGCGATGAGAGCCAACGGCGCCATTTGGTGGCCAACTATGGCATCAAATGCGAGCAAAACGTATATAAATGCAAAGAAATCTATCGACAACTGAATCTTAAGGATGTATACCTCAAAGAGGAGCTCACTATTTATGAGGAGATCTGCGGTGATCTCCAGAACCTCAAGAATGGCAACAAAATAAGTAAAGAAATATTTGAATTTATTTTAGAAAAAGTCTATAAACGGAAGTATTGATTGCAATCCATATGCAAAATATATGCAAAATAAATATATTTTAACATTACTATATATAATTTTTCAATTTATCTATTAACTAGATGAATTTATTAAACCTTTTTGAAACGCTAAAATAAAAGTTTAATTAAAAATAATTACACAATGAATTCAAACAAAATAGTTATAGCATACTATTAATAGTAGTAATATTAATAGTATTATGATACTGTTATAATAAAAGTGTATTTCCAAAGAATCCTTTTAATAATTTTATAATTTTTTGTACGAAAGGAATCATTAGCCTGTAATTAAAAGAAATTGTAAAATTGCTTATATAATAAGCTTATGGATGCAAATAAAGTTTATTAAACTTCCATAATTACCGTACCACCCAGGATATCCTAAATCAAATCAAACATTATTTGGTATCCTTTTCCACAAAAGTTTGATTTCAAAGAAATTCGTTTGTACTGTATTATTGGATTTTAAAATATCCCCGTTGGATTTGTATGTTATATCATATAAGCATAAAATGAGATAACTTTAAAATATAAAACTAGTCTACATTGATATATTGATGTATGAGTGTATAATAGTATTATATATATATAAATGTTTGCCAAAATAGCGCAAACTCGTTATGTTAAAATTACTATATGTTAGAATTGAGCTAGATCAAAACATAATTTTTTGCAACTATGGTTTTTTTGCACCAACACATCCATATGATGACTTTTGTACAATTCTCAAAGGAAC